CCCCAACTTTGTTGAGGTGAGCCAAAAATTAATAGAGCCCTGGCCATGAGTTTCACAATTTTGGAAGAGGCACTCTTGCTAATCATAACCATGCACTTCCTATTTTTAAATAATACCCAGAAGCAGAAAAGAAGATTTTCAAAGAATTAATGCATTTTCACTATATAATCAATACAGTCCCGCCTAACACCAGAACCCCTGATTCAGGGGCCATGAAATTCACAATTTCTGAAGAGGCACTCTTGCTTACCATAACTATGTACTGTAATTTTTAATCTATACTTCAATGGGGTGAATAGGTTGAAATGCTCATTTTTAGCCTTAATTTTTAAAAAAATCCTTAGATAGGGCAAATTTGGAACATAGAACGAGACGTTGCTTATCGATTTTCTAGAAATCCTCTCATAAATACTACATATCAGAACAAGTAAACTTCTTGTAAAGGTATTGAGAAAATACATGATATTTTTATGTGTAAAACAAAATATACAAACATTTCTTTAGTTGAAACTTTATTGAATTGTGCTACAACATATTTTTCTCCAACTTGCCTGTTCAATGCCATTGTAGTTTGACTCTGTCGTTAAACAATATCCATAAATATGGTAGTATACAATAGCTATTAAATAGGAAAATACTCCAGACCAAACAATAATTATTTCCATTTTAGAACATCTTGGACACATTCACAATATATTTTATTTCGACATTATTTACAATATTCACAGATTTGCCAATTTTGATGACCGCCAATTTTGTATTATCTTGTCGGGGGATTTTGTACACAGTATATATCCTTTTATTGGTTAGACAATTAAAATTCCTACAGAAGCCATCCTTGAATATTTCAGTGTACCCCTTGAGAAGGAGGAAGTTTCATTTCTATAATTTCAAAATAAATAATTATTACTTTGTAACGGTTTCTAAGTCAACCTAATTTAGATTAGCAATAAATAATTCAAGATAAGTGTATTTTATTAGTCATTAAACTAAAATATTTATGACTAGTGGTTATTTGGTAAATAAATTAAGAAAATTACTGCCAACATTTTATTTCATGAATGCATTTTACAATTTAAAAAAATCACAAGACAATGAAAAAAAAAAAATGTTTAGGTAGACTATTTCAATTAATCATTACACATAAATCGTAAAAAAGATGATAATTTTCCCAATTGCGATTGTAAAAACTATTCATATTTTAAGAGTCAATACGGTTGCGATTTTATTTTTATTGAACGATTGCAACTTCCAACTTCACAAGATGGAAGCAGAAAGCATGTTGTTATTACTTTGAAGATGATGAGACTTATTTACGAGGCGATTAAAAAAGTTTTGTTTTGTACATTGAAGGATATTTAACAGAAGTTGATTTGTAAGACAACATTGATATATATTTTTAATTCTTTATTGTTTATTATTTTTTCTGGGTAAAATTACCAAAAAAGTTATGAAATTGACCTACATTTTAGATGAAACACTCTGAGAACCCAAGATGATTCTAAGCCAATTAGTACCTGAAAGTTGGTCATGGTGATCTACTTATCACTTATCATTCTCTGAGGACCCATGGTGCATCAACTAAGTTTGATGATTCTAAGCCAATTAATACACAAAATATTTTAAAAATTATAACCATAAAATTTCAAAAGTAGGTCATGGTGAACTTCTTTTCAGTTGTCGTACTCCAAAGACCCAAGATACATCAACTGACAAAGTTTGACGATTCTAAGCCAATTAGTACCTGATATATTTAACTAAAGCCATAAATTTTCAAAAGTAGGTCACGGTGACCTACTTTTCTGTTGTTGTCCTCCAAAGACCCAAGATGCATCATCTGACAAAGTCTGATGATTCTAAGCCAATTAGTACCTGAAATATTTAATTAAAGCCATAAATTTTCAAAAGTAGGTCATGATGACCTACTTTTCAGTTGTCATACTCCAAAGACCCAAGATGCATCAACTGACAAAGTTTGATTATTCTAAGCCAATTAGTACCTGAAATATTTAATTAAAGTCATATAAATTGAAAAGTAGGTCACAGTGACCTACATTTCAGTCGACCTACTCCAAGGACCCAAGATATATCAACTGACAAATTTTGATGATTCTAAGCCAAATAGTATCCAAAATATTAAATACAGCCATAAAATTTCAAAAGAAGGTCAGGGTGACCTACTTTTCAGTGGACTTACTCTGAAGACCCAAAATGTATCAACTGACAAAGTTTGATGATTAGTACCTGAAATATTTAATTAAAGTCATATAAATTAAAAAGTAGGTCACAGTGACCTACTTTTCACTCGAGCTACTCCAAGGACCAAAGATGCATCCACTGACAAATTTTGATAATTCTAAGCCAATTAGTACCTGAAATATTTAGTTATACTCATACAAATTGAAAAGTAGGTCTTGGTGACCTACTTTTCAGTCGAGCAACTCTGAGGACCAAAGATGCATCCACTGACAAATTTTGATGATTCTAAGCCAAATAGAACCTGAAATATTTAATTAAAGCCATAAATTTTGAAAAGTAGGTCACAGTGACCTACTTTTCAGTTGACCTACTCCGAAGACCCAAGATGCATCAACTGACAAAGTTTGATTATTCTAAGCCAATTAGTACCCAAAATATTTAATTAAAGTCATATAAATTGAAAAGTAGGTCATGGTGACCTACTTTTCAGTTGACATTTTTTGAGGACACAAGATGCATCAAGTTACAAAGTTTTATGATGATAGGCCTTAAAATGTCCAAATTATGCCTCTAAAATGCTTTGAAATCGAATGCCTGCAAAATTCAAAAGCAGGTCACTGTGACCTACTTTTTAAAAAATACATTTTATGGCCCAAAGATGCATCTTCTTACAAGATTTAATGATTCTAAACCTCTCAGTATTTAAATTAATGACCTTAATTGTTTTGAAAAAGATTAGCCATAAAATTCAAAAAGTAGGTCATGGTGACCTACTTTTTAGTTGACGTACTCCGAGGACCTAAGATACATCAACTGACAAAGTTTGATGATCATAGGCCTTAAATTGTTCAAAATGTGCCTCTAAATAATTTTGAAAAAGAATGGCCACAAAATTTAAAAAGTAGGTCACTATGACCTACTTTTTAGTCATCATGATATGTCATTGAGGTCCTTAGATGCATCAACTGACAAGATTTGATGATCCTAGTCCTTATAGTAAACAAAATATCAACATTTTAATAAAATGTAATTTTTGGTCAACTTTGAAGTGACCTTGAGACCACGCCCTATGCCCCAGGGTGATGTCTTGAATAATTTTTAATCTTCAACATATCCTCATCCTTTTGTGTAAATTTGGTGGTAATCTGCCCAGTGGTTCTTCAGAAGATTTTTTTAGCAACCAGTACTTTTGTTTCTATTTTCCTAATTATCTCCCCTTGTTTAAGGGTCACAACCCTAGTTTTAGTATAAACAGGAGCCCTTGGACCAAGGATACCCTGTGACAAATATGACAATAATTGGCCAAGGGGTTCTTGAGTTATGGTCCATATTCTAAAAAGTTTATGCACACTGCACAAATGGCCATAGCATTAGCTCTTTGAGCCTTTGGCTCAGAAGAGCTAAAAATTACAATCCATGGAATTAATCCCTTATACAGTACACAAAATTATGTATCTCAGTGTAGTCTTCTTGTGTTCCAAGTTATATTGAAATTGGATTAAAACTGTAGGAGGGGTAGCATTTTGAGTGTAATTCACAGAAATTTCTGTTTTTAGTAACCATTGTAACACCGTTCATCGAAATCAAATACCAGGGCTCTCACACCACTTTTTGGGACTGGGATCGAGGCCATTCAAATTGGGAAAATAACCCATCATTTTGGAAATATTTGGAAAACTAACATTCATAAAAGAAACACCTCAAATTTTGCTTCTCTAGCATTTTGTCATCAATTTAATTCTAGTCTTGAATAAACTCTTAAACAGAACTAACATGGGTAGGTTATTTATGGAAGTATACATTGGCTTTGCTCATTACTAAATTGTGGTTATTTGTCTTTCTGATCACATCCTTCCAAATTTCCTCGATCACATGGTCATCATGGCTTTCAGGTTCAGCATGAGACTGACTGGTGGGCCTGGTGCTAGGTGCAGCTTACTGTTGTTTAAATAAAATGTTCATATTTTGGCACCTAGATGATGTTTTCATGTCAATTATCTTGACATAATACTTTGCATTATGGCTCATTATTACCTAAATCCGTACTAACAATAACCTGGCTCCCCGAACCAGCTTACGAATATATGTGGCATGAACTAGTTAATAAAGTTGTACATAGAACTAGTTTGTTTCACGTTCACTTGCAATTGTTTGCTTTTTGACAATTAAGTTAAATTGATTTTGAATTTAAAAAATATTTTCCTTTCGAAAATTGGAAAATTTACACCTTTCTTTTGGGAAAAAAGGTACCTTTTTTGCGTTGGGAGTGGGGCCGTTCAATGGCCCCAATTATTGATAATCGAGAGCCCTGAAAACCCATAAAAAGAATTATGTATCTCAGTGTAATCTACTTGTGTGCTAAGTTTAATCAAAATCAGACCAAAACTGGAGGAGTAGCATTTTAAAGAAATGTTTACAGAGAGACGGACAGATGGATAACGGACACCTTACTATCACATATTATGCTCTGCTGGTTTCTGACCAGTAGAGCTAAAATCACTCCACTGTAAGTGTAAGTTACTTTATATAGATTGCTTTAAATTTTTATTTAATTTTTACAATATGCTTTAAAACTATAAGGGACACAAATCACTCCAATGCAAGTGTAAATTATTTATATCCCTTAGGTGAGTGACCTGAAAAAGACTTGTGATTTCTGTGCAACAGATACTAATTATCAAAGCACTATTTTTTGCAGTGTAACAGATGGACAGATTAACAACTTCCCTCTGTAAAGCCTTGCTTTGTAGGTTACACAGTCACAACTGTACAGTAGTCTCCATCTTATCTACATCACTTACTCAGATATTGCCCATGCCAACCCAAAACCATCATATGTAGATGTTCCTCTTCCAAGTTCATCAATAATGATGAGAGAATCTTTTGTGGCAGACTGAAATTAAAAGCCTTCCATTATATACTTCAGGTGTGGTATTTTAAGTAAGGGTTGATTTCTGAGTAGCGCTCCATACCTTAAAAGTAATGGAGCTGACTGAGGCCCCAAAGGAACCGAGGCCCATTGCTTTTAAGGACTGTAGCACTATGAGTACACTGACCTGCTTAAAATTTACAGTTTTAAATGCTTGTAATCATTGTATGTCAATATATATAATAAAAACATATTTTTTAAAATACACAGTAAATATACGTTTAACGTATTAGTAATATTAAATTTATATATAGAGTATATAGTGTTATGGATTTATTTGAATCCTCAATTCATCAGTAAGTTTTGATAGTGTAGTGAGCTGAGTATTCAACTACAAAAATAAAGGTACCAAGTTTGACCTTCAGAAGTATATTTCACTTTTTCTTAATATGACAAGAGGCCCAAGGACCTTGAATCACTCTTCTGATAAACTGTACAACTTATCAATTCTATTTGAAGCCTCTAAGTATCCTGTATATTTAGATAATTAGCCTTGAAATTCTAAAGGTAGGTCATCATGACCTACATTTTAGATGAAACACTCTGAGAACCCAAAATGATTCTAAGCCAATTAGTACCTGAGAGTAGGTCATGGTGACCTATTTAGGGCTTTTCGCTTTCAGGCAAAAAGCCCTATTGTTTTCGTCTTTTTTATTATTATTATTATTATACTGAACACTTTTTTCCTTCAGCATTTGAGGAGTACCTTTAAAATAGGATTTTTCTCTTATAACCACTAAATAGGAAATGTAAATATCTCGCGTATGTAAGGTATTGAACTTCCGGTTTAGTCACTTCCGGTTTCTACTAAAGAACAAGAGTTGTATTATACTCAGGTGACCTTAACGGTCACCTGAGTATAATACAACAATTTAGAAGTTAAATACACTGACAGATGAAGCTTTGTTGTCCTAAAGCAAGAGAAGTCGGAAGATCAGGATCAACAAAATAATTAGTCTAGTATTCAGTATTAACTCATAACTTAAGTTCTAATCTGTCCCCCCCTTAATATTATCACCATGACGACTATTAACAAACTATTAGTGCTTCTGTACTATTTTTAAACCCATGTTAAGACCTCTAGCATTGACCTCTCTTATGGTCTTTGAAGAACTTTTAATAAGATAAGTTATTTTTGCCTCATTTTTATTTATCTATTACTTACAGGTCTGCCTGATTATTAAAACTAAGAAAGTACTTTTTGAATTATACGATAAACATTCTTGCATAATTATCTTATTCTATTAATCTTTCAAATACATTATTTACAGTGATTAATTATCAAAGGTGAATGGAAAAGGGGAATAATTTCTCTCAGTAGAATACAAATTAATAGAGCCCTGTCCAGGACCAGAATGCTTAGACAAATTAACCAGATGTTCAAAAATCTGGTAGAAATACACTTACTTATATCATTTAAACTTTTACTCAGTTTGCTTTCGATATGCCCAGAAGCAGAGAAGAATTTCACAGGTACAATGCATTTTCACTACAGATTCAACAAAGCCTTACCCTAACACCAGAACCCAAGACCAAAGGTCAAGAAATTTACAAATTTGGAAGAGTTACCCTCATCATCATAACTATGGACTTCAAAGAATTAACACTTTTCCACTATATTATCAAAAGCCCCCCCCCCCCCTTCCTCGTTATGCCAGAACCCCTGACCCTAGGACCACAAGATTTAAAAATTCTGTTCGAAGCTCCCATTTTCATCAAAGCTAAGCAATTTATTTATCAGCTCAACACTAAGGAGCAGACAGGATTAGTTAATGATTAATTAATAGAATTAATGCATTTTCACTATATAATCAATAGAGCCCCCCTCCCCCCCTCCCCAAGAATCCCAAAAACTGAGGCCATGTATTTAAAAATTTTGGAAGAGGCATCCTTGCCTATCATAATCATGCACTTAGTTTGTTTAAATAATTTCCAGTAGCAAAGAAAATGATTTTCATAGAATCAATGCATTTTCACTATATAATCAATAGAGCCCCGCCCTAACACCGGAACCCCTGACCCTGGGGCCATGAAATTCACAATTTTTAAAAAGGCATCCTTATGCATCATAACCATGCACTTAGTTTGTTTAAATAATCTCCAGTAGCAGAGAAGAAGATTTTCAAAGAATCAATGCATTTTCACTGTATAATCAATAGAGCCCCACCCTAACACCAGAACCCCTGACCCTGGGGCCATGAAATTCACAATTTTTGAAAAGGTATCCTTATGCATCATAACCATGCACTTAGTTTGTTTAAATAATACCCAGGAGCAGAGAAGAAGATTTTCAAAGAATTAATGCATTTTCACTATATAATCAATAGAGCCCTGCCCTAACACCAGAACCCCTGACCCAGGGGCTATGGCTTTCACAATTCTGGAAGGAGCCCACCTCCTCATCATAACTATGTACCTAGTTTATCACCTTAATGCCCAGGAGCAGAGGAGAAGATTTTCAAAGAATTAATGCATATTCACTATATAGTCGATAGAGCCCCACCCTAACACCGGAACCCCTGACCCTGGGGCCATGAAATTCACAATGTGGGAAGAGGCTCTCTTGCTCATCATAACTATGTACGTAGTTACTTAATTTAATACCCAGGAGCAGAGAAGATTTTCAAAGAATTAATGCATTTTCACTAGATAGTTGATAGAGCCCCGCCCTAACACCAGAACCCCTGACTCTGGGGCCATGAAATTCACAATTTTGGAAGAGGCACTCTTGCTCATCATAACTATGTACTTAGTTACTTTACTTAATACCCAGGGGCAGAGAAGAAGATTTTCAAAGAATTAATGCATTTTCACTATATAATCAATAGAGCCCCGCCCTAACACCAGAACCCCTGACCCTGGGGCCATGAAATTCACAATTTTGGAAGAGGCACTCTTGCTCATCATAACTATGTACTTAGTTACCTTATTTAATACCCAGGAGCAGAGAAGAAGATTTTCAAAGAATTAATGCACTTTCACTATATGATTTATATAGCCCCACCCTGGGGCCAGAACCCCTGACCCTGGGGCCATGAATTTCATAATTTTGGTAGAGGGCTCAATGCTTATTACAATGATGCCAACAGTTTGACTGCTTGATGTCCAGGAGTAAAGAAGAAGATTTTTAAAGATTGCATTATTTTTGGTGGTTTTAGCCCCACCCCTCAGGCCTCAGGGGGGCAGGGACCATGAAATTCAAAATTTTTGTTCCCCTTCACCCATAGATGCTATATGCCAAATTTGGTTGAAATTGGTTAAGCGGTTTCAGAGAAGAAGCTAAAAATGTTCAAATGTTAACGCACGCACACGCCGATGGACAAGAACGGATAGCAATAGGTCACCTGAGTGACTCAGGTGACCTAAAAACTAAAATACCTAAAGAAGCTAAAATCTTTCTCATTTTGAATGTCTAGACTCTCAAATTCAAGATATAAATTCTAGAGACCAATACCTACAAAAAAATTAACGACAGTGATTTTTGACCACTGATACTTTCTGGGATATAAGACTTCAATCATTGAAGAAGGGGGGATGAAATTTTTAAAAGTCACAATTAAGGTTTGAAAATTATTTTGAGCATTGAAATACGTTAAGACTAATAAGTTGAACATATACTGTAAGTTTCATATCAATCCGAGCTGAACTTCCAGTTTTAGGGGTCTTTGAAAATTCTCTATGGGAGTTTCTATGTTAAATTGAAATCAGTCGTGGCACGTTTTCTCTTAAAATAATCAAAATATTTTTTTGAGATTTTAAGCGCAGAATGACCTTGATACGGTACCGTCCTCATTAGGTCATGAAAAGGAAATTCGGGAAAAAAAAGGGATTTCTAGGGGCCAACATTGAAAACATATTTTTTCCTGTAACTTTTTTTTATTTCTCAATGAATTTTTAAACAGTTTTCTATTCTGGGTTCAGATCAAAGAGAACGATCTAAAAATTATGGTTCGTGGGGTCACTTTTTGACCCCTTATAGGAGTTACAGAAGACTGAAATAATGTAATTTTTATTTATTTCAAATATGATGAAGAAAGAGTTATCTCCCTTTGCACATCTGTTGGCGGGCTTACATACTCTCTAGGTTTCAAGTTTGGTATGCATATGACAATTACTTCCGTTTTTATGAATCTCTGAATTTGTCTATGGGAGTTCCCATATTAAATGGAAAAATGCACATGTCACGATATCTCCTTAACTAAATAAAATATTCTTGTGAAAATTGAGTGATATAATGACTTTGATAATGTTTCAACCCCATAAGGGTCTGAAAATGAATTCTGAAAAATAAGGGATTTCAAGGGGCTAATATTGAAAACTGATTTTCCCACGTAACCTTTTTATTTCTTAATGAATTTTTGAACAGTTTTCGATTCTGAGTTCAGCATAAAGGTTACAGTTTAAAAATTATGGCCCGTGGGGTCACTTTTTGACCCCTTAGAGATATTTTAGAGACCTGAAATATTGTAACTTTTAGTAATTTTCAAAATAACATTGTAAGAGTTACCCCCCTTTGCAGAGCTCTAGTGAGAATTACATACTCTTAAGTTTCCATTTTTATAAGCTCCTGAAGACTTGATCCAGTTTGATTATTTTTTTTTTTAATGTTTTTCATTTAATTAGAGTTATCGCTCTTTAAGGTCCTTGTGATTTTAAGCGTCGAAAAGCCCTCCGTTTTTTTTGAATGACAAAAAAGGTCTAGTTATCACTTGTAATTCTCTGATGACCCACAATGCATAAACTAAGTCTGATGATTCTAAGCAAATTAAAATTATAACCATAAAATTTCAAAGTAGGTCATCATGACCTACTTTTTAGATGACATACTTTGAGGACCTAAGATGCATCAACTGACGAAGTTTGATGACTCTAAGCCAATTAGTACCTAATATATTTAAATAAAACCACAAAATTTAAAATATAGGTCACAATGACCTCCTTCTCAGTCGACTAACTCTGTGGAC